ACATGCATATGGGTAAGGCAGGGAGACTGTCTAGACTAGTTACTCTCAGTTTAGTCTGACTTAGGAAACAAAGAATAAATAAGGCTGGAATTCCTCTAACACCTCCATTTTGCACTAAAGTGTTCATATATATGGTTATGTCACTGGACTCCCATGTAATAGACTGCAGTTCAAGCCCCAGTCCCAGATCTCGTGGCTTAAAATTCACGCCAAGTGTACGTGTGTGTGTGCCCAAAGTCCCTAGAGCAGAACGGAGGAGAAAGGATTGTGGCATGGCCATCCTCCTGGGGGTGGTGATTTCTCACTTTCTGTCTCTCTGGTGAACAAAACGCTTACCAAAAAAACACAAAAAAAAAACCAAAAAGGAATCACAGGTACTTCGTTTCCAAAGTCTACTTTTAGTAAATATACATATGTGTGATTGTGGCATGGCCATCCTCCTGGGGGTGGTGAAAAGTAGACTTTGGAAACGAAGTACCTGTGATTCCTTTTTGGTTTTTTTTTTGTGTTTTTTTGGTAAGCGTTTTGTTCACCAGAGAGACAGAAAGTGAGAAATCACCACCCCCAGGAGGATGGCCATGCCACAATCCCTTCTCCTCCATTCTCTTCTCGGGATCTTGGGCACGCACACACACACACACGCATCTGGCGTGAGTTTAAGCTACCAGGTCCAGGACTCGAACCGTGGTCATCTACATGGGAGTCCAGTGACATAGCCATTACGCCAACTGCTGGTCCCATTTCAGTAAATATTTTAAACAGTGACTTGCATATGGAAGTGTTCATTAAAAATTCATGATAATTAAGGAATTACCTCCAGGTGGCAGCTGAATTAGGAACGCTCTTTTCCCCTTCGGATCACGCCGAAGAATTTTTTTTTTTTTTGGAGAGATTTTTGCTATAGGGCGCGTGCGCTCGCCAGACAGACAGAGAGAGACATAGAGACAGAAAGCGAGAAATCACCCCCCAGGAGGGATGGTCACGCCGCAATCCCTTCTCCTCCATTCTCCTCTCGGGATCTTGGGCACGCACGCACACGCGCCCGGCATGAGTTTCAAGCCACCGGGGCCAGGACGCGGACCACGATCGACTACGTGGGAGTCCAGCGACATAGCCATTACGCTAACTGCTGGTTCCCAATGCCAAAGAATTTTTAAGTAACTGCAAATTGATTAAGTTTTTTATATACATAGTACAAATCTTCAGTGTAACAGACATTTATCATATAGAATATCTATCTATATTATAATAAAAACAATGTGCTTAACCACCACCATAATTTGAACATGTACTCAATGGTCCCATGATAATTTACATCTACAGAGATAGTGGAAATTAATCTCAAAGTAGTTCGATTGATTGCTCTTAATTTTTGAATTTAATACTTCCCTGATTTGAAGAGTTAACAGTCCCAACTATTCCCATTTTGCTGTTGCTGAAGCTGTTTTCCTTATGAAGTAACTTACTGTCATGTCTATGTTTGTAATCGTGACTCTTGTTTTTTGAAAACTACAATCTATGGTGCTTTCATAGTTATACACTACACATAGGTCACCAGCTTTTTGTTGGCTTGTTTGTTTGCCCCGAGACAGACAGACAGACAGACAGAGAGACAGAAAAAGGGAAAGCAAGAAAGCAAGCCATCAGGTCCAGGACTCGAACCGCAGTCAACCATGTGGAAGTCCAGTGACTCAACCACCGCGCTACCTGCTGGCCCCTCACCAACTATTTTTTTAAGGCTGTCTACTCTGTCAAAATTTATGTTCTTTGGTCATAATTGTAAAAGCTATCTTTAAGCAAACACATAGTTTGTAAATCCATTTAAAACTTTATGTAAGGTATTTTACTTATATAGAAAAAACTCAATTACTTCAAAGTGCTATTCCTTCAAAAAGCAAGTTGTTTATAGGTCTATTTTAGAATCTTAATCGGAATAATAATCTCATAAATTCGAAACTCTCTAAATGCTGTCACCATTATTTGAATAACAACCAAAAAGAAATCCTCACAGAAGCCCACAGATCTAGCTTAGCTGAGAGCAAGAATTTTTTTTTTTTTTTTTTTTTTTTTGCAGGGGTGAGACATAGGGCAAGTACCCACCTGGGGAAAGACAGAGACAGAGACAGAGACAGAGAGAAAGAAAGTGAGAATCGACCTCCCCAGGGAGGATAGCCACACCTCAATCCCTTCTTCTCCATATTCCTCTTGGGATTTGGGGCATGTGCACCCATGTGCCTAGCATAATTTGCAAGCCAGTGGGTCCAGGACTCAAACCAGTCATCCACGTGAGAGTCCTGCAGCTTAACCACCACACCACCTGCTGGCCCCACAAGAGAAATGTTTCATACACTCCTTGAATGTTGGTATCTTTATCAGTCTTCTCCTTAGATTAATTAGGAAACTATAATATTCGATCTATACACAAGTTTTGAACTATAGCTCAAAGACTTTTTTGACTTTTATTAATTAGTACTAATTTTGCAATGTACAGTATGACAAATATTTAACAAGCACCCATACGTGAATGATCCAGTGCTCAGCACTGTTTTTCCAAGAGCTGACACTAAGAAATGCGTAACGCTGTACGTGTATGAACATACATTACACAAGAGCACAAAATTCCTGTGTTAGCTGTAGAAGGAAAGGTTTTTCCTTTACTCTTGTTGAATTCCACAAATTCAAATGCTGTTTTTCATTTTGACTGTTTTCATGACATGCATGCTGCTTCCAACCTTCTTCCTTCCTACCCTCCCCTAGCAGATAAACATTTCCCGCTTCGTATTAGCAACCAATTTAAGCTTATTATCTTTCATTTTAGAAGCAAAATACAACACATCAATTCAATTAAGCCCGAAATATTCCTCGCACATTTGTTATTCAGAGATAAATAAGCCTCGTGTCATGGTTCTCAGTCGCTCTCAGAAGATGAAACTGTTTATCAGCGTATGCAACTAATGTTTCACACTTCAGCTTCATCCTGCGCTTTTGTACTTACTGTGCAATCGCAAACTTTTGCAACCGAAGTATTTCCTATATGTTTTATATGGCTTAGGTTTTTTTTACAAAATATCCTATATGATTTAATAATCAAATGTTCCCATACCTTAAACGTACTAAAATTACCTTTTGCACATTTTAAGTACACACAATTTTCAAAGATTTTTTTTTTAATCCCCTTTAAAAGGTATGTCACTTATTTGGCTCCTCTGGAGTCTTGTCAAATCCTGAGCATTAAAAGAATACATTTGAAATGACTGGGTTTTATTTATTCACTGATTAAGTCAGATTTATGACCTCTTCTCCCCCATTCCAGCTACCAGGGCTTTGAATGAAACAACCTCAATTGTAACAGAAGAAACATCTGTTGCTTTTTTTCTTAATCAGGGCTTTCCTAACTGAAAGAAGGGCTGTCTGCCTGACCTCTTCCACTCCCCCTCCCCACCCACACTCAGTTCCTTAAAACTTTTTTTTTAAACAAAATGTATTAGTTAAAATTTTACTGTATCTCTTAGAAAAGGCACAGTGTTATCTGGAAACAATCACTTCCTAATTAAAGTTCAAAGAATGACTAGATGCTAAATACAATAAAAAAAAAAGAAAAGAAAAAAAAAAACCAGGCATGTGCCCCACAGAATACAAACTAAAATGCAGGCTTGAAGGGTATACTTGAAAATGATCCGCTTGTCCAAGTTGTCACATTCCCAGCTAAGATTTTCCTCAGTGTCCAGACCCACCTCGCGCCTTGTATATTTTATTTTCTTTGCCAATCCAAGGCTAACATAATGGCAGTCACTACCCCAGAGCCAGACACCAAATGGTGCCACCCACACTCTTCGCGCTGAGCCTCATAATATACCATAAAGCAGTGGAATGCACCAGCCCCTTTATGAGCAAACAATGCCTGAGCTTCATTAGAATACAGCTGACATTTTCAAAGCACAAATACTTTTAAGAAAAAATGTCCTAGGGAGGGGAAAGATCAAAGCACAAATACTTTTAAGAAAAAATGTGCTAGGGAGGGGAAAAAAAAAAAAAAAAAAAGGAATGAAACAGCTATAAAAGCTGAAATATTTTTCAAGTGTCAGGTTGATTTCCAAAGATCCTGAGGGAGCCTATTCTGCTGTGGACAATGTAAAAGTTTTCATAAATGGAAAAGATGTTTAGTTAAGGACAAAGCTTATTTTATGAACTCCAGGGAGGGGGAAAAAAATGAAAGTAAAAACTATCAGTTGAATTGCTTTCCCAAGTTAATAGCCACGAAGGACCTTGCAAATCAATTTCCTCGACTGCTTCTTTAGTTCCTGAATGTGGAAAACCGAGTTCCGGGATGATTCGCACATTTCAATGAATTAATATAAAGTAAAGGAGTGATAAACTAACTCTTCCCCTCCCCCCTCCCCAACCCCCATGCCCTGTAGTTTTTCTCTCTGCAACAAGCCCGGACATCTTGAAGCCTGCCTGCTCCTGGCTGTTTACCAACTTCATATTGCTGCTACTTAAAGAATAGAAAATAAACACTGTGAAAACTCACCGGGCAGTGGGAAGCCGGGGTCCTCTCACCTGGGCTGAGGAAGCATGCCTCCCCCTGCAGTACCGACAACACTCCACAGTCTTTGTTACCATTCACTGGAAACTTGAGACTGTGTCAGCCAGAAGCAATCGAGCTCCGAAGAGCTCAATCTCAAACACTTCTCAATAAAACTAAAAAGATGCTCAAGAAAACCGGCCCCCTGGCTTTGGAAAGACGCGAAGGTTGTCTACAGTCATGAAGGCACTCCAAAGAAACGGAGGTGTTAAGGTTTTAAGAGATGAACGGGCTTTCTGCGTAGAACCTGGCTTACCTAGTAAATTAAAAGGTTTTTTTTTTCCCCCCATTGTTGTTAAAAAAATAAAAAGCACATAAAGTAAAAGTGGAGAAATGATATAATGCCTAACTCCAAGCTAACATTTTTCTATCACTTGAATTTTAAGTAGCTAAAAAAAAATAAGATCAAACTTACTCATGAAACCTGCAACGTTCGAATTAGACATGTCAGAGGATTTGCTGGCTTCAGAGCAGTCGCAAAGCCGGAGACCTTAAAGCATCTTGAAAGTAGAGCAAAACCACCATGAATCTCAGGGGGGGAAAAAAAAGAGGAGAAACTTTTGAAAAACTGGTCGGTGTTTTCTGAACCTGTAATAACTGCCCGGCTCTTGTGGGAGGGAAAAAAAGTCCTAGTCCTGCCCCCTGAGATACGAGGCTATGCTTCAATGCCAAAATGAATGACAGGCCCATTTCTGATATCGACAAAGAGCAGCTTAGTTGTGCTCCATTTTTTCCCCCCACTTTCCCACACAGTTTGAAATTCTAAAGTGTTCAGGTCGATCCCTTTATATCTCGGGTTAAGGCATCTTTCTTCATTTTCTCAAAAGAGAACCCAGTTACGTTGCCCTAAGTTATTAAAATGACTAATATACGTATCTAATCATCTTACTCAGTTTTCTCAGGCAGGAAGCTGTACAAAAGATGACCTCTTAAGTTGCTTTCTAATTCTATTCTTTGCACTATCAGATTACCATATGACTAATTATCAGTCTTAATAAGCCTTCCTGCATTCAGTTATGAGATATGAATAGAAACTAAAAGAAGGTAACATTAAAAATAGAGCAACTGAGATAATAAAATGTTTTTAAAAGAAAAGTTCATTTTGATTCATGTTAGAGAGTGCATGTATGCACATGAGGGAGAAAGGGAGAGGGAGAAGCACCCTGGTGGGCCTTCCAGCTGGTCAGAACCTTGGACACAAGCTCCTGGCCGGCAGGTTTTCAGACCCACCAGGGATCTCACCCCTCAGTCAGCCCTGCGGCTTCCAGGACTGCAATTCACTTTACTACGACTCTATAACCAGGTGGGGCCAATAACAACATTTGTAATCAGCTAGATATAAAAGTACTAAAATACATGTGAATGATCTTACAAATTAAAAACAATAAGTATTTGGGGAACCAGCAGTTAGCGTAATGGCTATGTCCCTGGACTCCCACGTAGTCGACCGCGGTTCGTGTCCCGGACCCGGTGGCTTAAAACTCACGCTGGGCGCGTGTGCGTGCGTGCCCAAGATCCCGAGAGGAAAATGGAGGAGAAGGGATTACAGCATGGCCATCCTCCCTGAGGGGTGATTTCTTGTTTTCTGTCTGTCTGTCTGTCTCTCTCTGTGTGTCTTTCTGTAGAGGGCAAGTGCCCTATAGCAAAAAAACCTCTCCTAAAAAAACAGTAAGTATTTAATCAACAATGTATATTGACTGAATACCCATTATGAGTCAAGCACTGTTTTGCATCCTGAGGCTACAGTAATCAGCACAAAAAAAGAGCTAAACAAAAAACCCTGCCTTGAGTGAGTTTACTCAGATATATATATGTTTTATTAAATTTTAATCACTGTCATTATTTATTTATTTATTTATTTACTTAGTTATTTATTTAATTGAAGTTGACCAGAGAGAGACAGAGGGAGAGAATGAAAGTGAGAAAGCAAGCTGCCAGGTCTGGGGCTTGAACCATGATCAGCCACGTGGGAGTCTAGTCATCTTAACCACCATGCCGTCCACCGGCCCCTAGTCCACTGGCCCCTATTCGGTCGTAAGGAATGGCTCAGTCCCCTGTGAGCACAACTCTCCTGGATGACTAAGGTATCTTTCCTTCTTCAATTAGTTATCACCTTCTCTGCAACATTCCTCTTTGAAAATACGTCTTGATGACAACTCCAGGTGATCAAATATCTGTGCTTTCCTCAGTGCTGTATGCGCATGTGTCTAAAACACCTGTTATACCTCGAATCCTAAATACTCCGAAATAGTTGGATGAGAACTTTTTATTCTTTTTTTTTTTTGGAGAGGTTTTTGCTACAGGATGTGTGCTCACTGGGGAGAGACAGAGAGAAAAGAGAAATTGAGAAATCACCCCCTGAGAGGATGGCCCTGCAGCAATCCCTGCGCCTCCAGTCTCCTCTCGGGATCTTGGGCACGCACGCACATGCGCCTGGCGTGAGTTTAAGCCACCGGGTCCAGGACTCGAACCACGGTCGACTACGTGGGAGTCCAGCAACATAGCCATTACGCCAATTGCTGGTCCCTATATATATATTTTTTTAATATATTTTTGCCATAGGGCATGTGTGCTCACTGGGGAGAGACAGAGAGAAAAGAGAAATTGAGAAATCACCCCCAGAGGTGATGGCCACACTGCAGTCCCTTCTCTTACCTCCTCGTGGGATTGGGGGGCATGCATGCACATGCAGCCAGCAGGTTCTCCAGCCACTGCTGCATGACGAACTACTCAGCTTGCCCCATGGGGTCCTGGGCCTTAACCAACATGCCACCTGCTGGCTGGGTCGGAGCTTTTTCCTACTCAGACTTTTTCTTTGCTAACACATATTACATTTATATGTATACAGACACAGGTTGAAATAGTAGAGAGTGTAAATTAGATTGTAAACATACTAGTGTAAATAAAACTTAAATTATAATATATAGAGCCCCATATCTTTTCATACTAAAATTTGTTTTCATTATCAGATGTGAGGTCATAATATTTGAGTAAAGGAATCTGTTAAAATTCTATAAAAGCTTTTTTTTTTTTAAGAGATTTTTGCGATAGGGTGCATGCACTCACTGGAGAGACAGAAAGACAGAAAGTGAGAAATCACTCCCGCGGGGGGATAGCCATGCCACCCACAATCCCTTCTCCTCCAGTCTCCTCTCAGGATTTTGAGCACACATGCATAAGTGCCTGGTATGAGTTTTAAGTCGCCAGGTTCAGGACTTGAACCGTGGTTGACTAAGTGGGAGTCCAGCAATGAAACCACGATGCTATCTTCTGGTCCCTATAAAAGCTTTTGTTAACAGATTTCAAAGGACTTTTTTTTTTTTTTTTTAAGGTTTTTGCTATAGGGTGTGTGCACTCACCAGAAAGACAGAGAGAGACAGAGAGACAGAAAGTGAGAAATCACCCCCCCAGGGGGGATGGCCATGCCGCAATCCCTTCTCCTCCATTCTCCTCTGGGGATCTTGGGCACACACGCACAAGCCTCCGGGACTCGAACCATGGCTAATGACATGGGAGTCCACTGACATAGCCATTATGCCAACTGCTGGTCCGTCGAAGGACTTTTGAATAAAAGAGAAGAAACTTGGAAATTAACAGAATATGATCAGCTTTGTGCATTGAAATCTTGTATGTTTCTGTCAATTTACATTCTCATATCCCACTTAGCACCATTCTTGATCATATCAGACGATCTTCTTTATAAAGAAGTGTACACCTCTAAGCTGTTGGATCAGCCCCCATTACCCAAGCCCAAGATACTCAGGGGCTGGATATGGTCACATCTACTCTGTTACAGTCTTAAAACAAGAGGAATTAAACTTCTAAGTACTGGGCTTGCCCCTAGCACAGAGCCCTAGGTCCAGGGGGTTGAACCCCACATGGCAGAGCTCGGGTTGAGTCTGGGCCCCATCAGCTGAAAAAACATGAGGGGTATGTACACATGCCCCAGATCGTAAATGGAGAAGAGGACTGTGGCATGACCGTGCTCCATGGGGGGGGGGGGGGGGGGGTGGTGTTCTCTCTCTGGCACACATAACTTGTTCTCTGACATGAAAGAAAAAAAATAAAACAAAATTTCCAGTACTCACGTATAGTCTCCAGACCTCTAAGTAACAGACCTTACCCCCAGCGCAGGACAATGACGGCTAGATTCAAATATAAACAGTCCAGCACATGGGGTTTTTCGTTTGCTCATTTTGCAGTTTTGCCACAGGGCGCATGCACTTGTTGGAGAAAGAGACTGAGAGCGAGAAACTAAGAAGTCGCCCCTCCCCTGGGGTGGGCAGGGGAGGCTGAGCCACAATCTCTTCTCCGCTCTCCTCTCAGAATTTGGGGCATGCACGCACACACCGGCAGCATGTTTTCCTTTCTCTATTTTTAAAAAGAATTATTTATTTAATTTTATTATTTATTTTAATTTGACCAGAGAGAGAGAGAGAGACAGAGAGAAAAAGGGAAAGTGAGAAAGGAAGCCACCAGGTCTGGGACTGGAACCGTGGTCGATCATGTGGGAGTGTTCAGAGCCGCAACCACCATGCCACCTGCTTGCATCCCCCAGAACGGTCTTCAAGTCACGGTTCCAAGACTTGAACCACTCAGCTGGAAATGAGAGATCCAGTACCTTAACGACCATGCCACCTGCTGGCCCCAGCATACTGATTTTTAAAAAGTTTCTTCATTTATTTTTCCATGAGTGAGGGAAACAGAGACAGAGACAGTTCCCTTGACTGGGCCTGACCACAATCACCCCCGGCTGCCCCCCAGATCAGTGGCTTGCATGTCCAGTGTGCTCGGAAGTCACCTTCCCACGTGGTTCAGCCTCTCTGGCTAAACCGTGCACGGTTCGTGGCACTCAGACCCTGTCGGGGTTGATGTCTCTCTGTCTCTCTGACTCAATGGAAGAAATATATTTTTTAAAAACCTATTTAAGTAACATATTAATTATAACAGCTTTTTTAGAAAACATCAAAGGGGACTTGGCATTTTCCCTTCTAGATTGAAAAGTTGATTTATTTGGAGGGGAACTTCCTGTGTTTCCTGGTAAGCTGACAAAATATTAGCCACGTTTAACGGAGAGACGTCTGATTTTACAGGCAGGAATGACACCATGAAGCAGACAGTACTTGGTAACGCCTGCGAGGCGCCCTGTCTCCGGGACCTGGTCAGCGGAGGGAGGTCAGCTATGCCGCCATCTGCAGTCTCGCGGGGGACCTGGTCAGCGGAGGGGGGTCAGCTATGCCGCCATCTGCAGTCTCACGGGGGACCTGGTCAGCAGAGGGGGGTCAGCTATGCCGCCATCTGCAGTCTCACGGGGCGAGGGCTCTCCTCCCCCTCGCGGGCAGCGCTGGTTCGGAGGACGTCACGCCGAGGTCACACCGTGAGGAAGCACCTGCACCTGCTCGTCCTCCCTCCCAGCCTCCGAGAGGCTTTCCGAGGTTCTATCCTGGATGCGCTTGTCTCAAAATCCACCTCGGTCCTTGAAGGACATTTCCTGTTTCTGAGGCTCTATCGCCCCTACAGAGACGACTG